GCATCTCTCATTTAGGCTCTTACACATTTCCTTGGTCCGAAAGACCAAGGCAAAGTCCAGGCATTGTTTAGAAGATTTCAACTAGTCTAAAAGCAGTGGTAATATTTGCTTCAGACTACAAAATTTCTTTGTACATGAGTTAAGGTAATTGGAGCAGGGAGGGAGGGAGGGAGGGGTTTGTGCTGCTTGTGTAAAGCTATAATCTGACTGTTAACTTAGCAAGGTTCAATCAGGCTGCATTATCTCAGACAACACCTGCCAGGACAACCTCTCCAAAGGCCCAAGTGATAATTTCCTTTTCTCAGTTGCTGTGCTCTGCCCCTGCTGGGAGTGCTGTAAACTTCCTGCTGAGTGCAGACACAAGCAAGAGCACTCAGGATGCTGCTGCCTCCTCTCCTGGCCCTGGCTGCAGCCTGGTCTTGTAGGTTCCATTTGTCACCATAACACAGGGCAGTGGAAAGCAGCATCCCATGTTTATGTCTGTGAATGAATAGCAAGCTAAGAGTATTTGTTCTGCTTTCTCTCTTTCTTTCTAGATGGCCAAGCACAAGTAATTCTGAAGCAGAGAGAAGTGTCCATTACCAGAGGGCACAAGACAACTGCATCAATGGACTGTATAGCCGAGGGTATTCCTGACTTCCAGTATGCAAATATACACTGGTACCGACAGGTACCCGCCAAAGCTCCAGAACGGATTCTGTACATTGGACCCAGTGCAGTTTCTTATAGGAACAAGTATTCTTCTTCAAAGAAAGGTACAAACATCTGCACTCTCACAATCAATGACATCAACTCCAATGATGTGGGTTCCTACTACTGTGCCTACTGGCATTTCCACAGAACCAACAGGTGACAGGCAGCCAGTACACAAAGCTGCCTGCACCCTGAGGGGCAGGCTTTCTGTCCAACACAGAGAATCATAATTGTACTTTCCTACCTCTAAAACACTCCAACATGTTTGTGCTGAGTATGTTTACATGAACATCAGACAAGGAGAAAAGCAAAGATGTGCTACAACTTAGGTGCTATACTGCTCTGTGCTGGGGAAAATGAGCACTCCTGTGGGTGGTGGCATTGCAGCTAAATTATATAGTAACACAGATAATCTCTGAACCATACAGGTTCTTTCCCAAATATAGTCTGAGAAAGCAAAAATGAAGAAATATTGGGGAGAGAGCATAGGAGAAGGATATTTGCACTTAAGATCTAGCCTGAGAGGCTTCAAATACAAGTGATGGTGAAGATACAGGTGATACTTATCAGTAGTAACTTCCGACTGAATGGTTATGATGACAATGACTGTCACAGGGAAGGATATTACACTGTGCAACACCTGAAAAGACTGTTCCAAGAAAGAGTTGAGAAGACCAGTTACAAGGAGAAGCTGCAGATTAAACCTGGGAACATGTAGAAATGATGACACAGCACTGCTCAGTCAGCTCTGAGGAGAGCTGCAGTGAAATTTCATGTGGCAAGGGTATTCACAACCCCCGTCCATGTAAGTTCTTTTTTTGCACTGCACTACAGGACCTGACAAAAACTCATGTATTTATCTGCACTACAGGACCTGACAAAAACTCATGTATTTATCACAAGGACAATAGAAGAATATTAACTTTCTGTACCAGTTGTAACATGAGAATTTTTTTTTTTGTGTACAGTGCTATTGACAAAGTCCTAAAAAAGCTCCAGAGGATTCTCTCTTTTGGGTCAGAAAATGTGAATTTTTTTTCTCAGGGAAGAGCATGATGTATGATGGCTGCTGCCCATGCGACCATTTGCTATAAAGCCTTTGTGGGGCACATTTTCAGCCTTTGAAATCAGGGAAAGTACAAGAAAAAGCCAGGGGCAGCAAATAACTGTCTGGTAGAAATGCATGCTTCACTCCGGTTTTGCCACAGCCACTGAGGCTGCCTTGTAACAGAGTCACCAGCTGTATTTTTCCTGTTTGGCGCTACCACCCCATTATCAAGGAAGGCAGGCACTTGCACAGAGGTCCAATCTCCTCTGCTGGCAAGACACTGCTGCCAGAGGAGCTCCTGATTTCATGCAACAGAAATGCAAAGATCTTCAAAAGAAGTGTGTCATGGCTAGTCAGTGCAGTCAAACATTTACACGGTATTTCTGTATCTTCTGCACAGTGAAATTAACAGCTGCCTGTTTTTTTCTAAGATACACAGATAGACAAATATAATTAAGTTCCTATGCAGTTGGAGGCGCAAAGCTAACCAAAATCCTTCCCCTCAGGAGAGGAGGAGAGACACAGTCCATAGACCAATCTGAAGCAGGCAAAACTTTTTTCTGCCCCTCCATCTCTTCCTGCCTGTCTTGGTTCGAAAGACAGGTGCCTGCTAGGGAAGACAGGACCCTCCCTTGGAACGGAGAACGGAAACGCCCTCCTGCCGAATTACTATAATTTTGAAATTAAGGGGCTCTGAGGCAAAGATATGGGAATAAGAACAACAGTTCTTTACTAATAACAAGGCACACAAAACAGCGACAACAACAACTACAGCCTCAATAACAAACAGAACCGGAACCGGCGCAGCCCGCCTGGCGCCGGCTCCCCCTCGCTGCAGTTGCGGTCACGGCCGGCAGGGGGCGCTGTTGGGGACTCCCGGTGGCCAGCGCGCTTGCGCAGATTCCCCACACGGCCGGGCGGAAGCGAGGCTTTCCCTCATGGAACCTGGCGGGCATTGTCCGTCCCGGGGCGCCAGCAGCACTCTTGGAAGCAGCAAGCTGGGACGGCAGCAATGAGCTGAAATCCCCGGTGGTAGACAAGATGTATCAGGAGCTCTGCAGCAGTAGCTGGAAACTGTGGGATGTCCTGGCGGGGCCCAGCAGCAGAAGAAAAGAAGCTTCCAGCTGGGTTATGGCAGTGGCAGCGAATTCCTTTTCCAAGCTGCAGGTCCAACCATCCTCCTCCAAAACACCTTACCTGTGACAAGAAACAGTCACAAACTCAACAATCCTGCTTTTGAGCTCCCAAATGTCTGCTGGTTTTTTTCCTGGTGTTCAATATTCGATAATATTCAAAAAACACAGCGAGAGAGAGTTCCCAGCTGCCCCAACCCCTGTCCTTTTCACCTGTCCTTTTACCTGCCTCTATTCTCGCAGTATCTCTGTCCCTCTGGGAGAAACTCCCAAAAAACCAGAGGAGTTCTCCCTCCACGCCTCTAAAGCACCCCGCCGTCAGTGCTTCTTAGCAACTCAATGGGAAAAAAAATCCACAAGTAACAAGGAAAGAAAATAAAAACCCAACCCCCAACACTGCCCCAAAAGCCCCCTCCCCCCCCCCCCCTCCCCTTTATACTATAAATTTTTGGTCCTTTCTAATGAGATGGAACAATCACATGCTGTAGATGGGGTTTGGTAACTTTGCTGATACATATCACATGTTCTTCTTCATTTGCGTTCCAAGGAACATGAAAGTTAAATATGTCAATTAGAGTGTCACTTACTTTTGGTCAGAATTTATTAACACAAAAGGTAAAATAAACAGTTTAGTCTCCCTCCAATGTCTGAGGCAGCCTTTGTTGTCTGATCTTTTCCAGAAAGTTTTTGTGTGCCTTTTCTTCTCATCAGACCAGATTTACAACACAGCTCACCTTTCAGGTGAGGGGAGGGTGAGCACAAGGGGTGGTACATAGGCACAGGTGCTTCTCTGTGCCACTGAAACAACACAGCGCTGTGAGACCTCCACTTTGCCCCAGGCATCCTTTGGTTGTGAGACCTTGCTCAAGCCGGAGGTAAGGGCAGCACAGAGTCCAGGTTATGTTATCCTCAACCAACCTCATAAATTCCACGCCTACTTAAAGCAACACTGTGCAATTCCGACCATTTGCCACGCTGTTGCAGGCAGATGCCCTCAGGTGGGAAGTAGCCTGACCATCTCTCCATCCTGTCAAGATCCCTGTGAAGGGCTGCACAGCCCTCTGGAGTATCAGCCACTCCTCCCAGCTTCATGCCATCAGTGAACTGAGGAGGCATCTGCCCCTTCCCCCAAGTTATTGATGAACAAGTTAAACAATACTGGACGCAGTATGGAACCTTGCCAGACACTACTAGTGACAGACTTAGTTAAGGCTTGGTTGGGGCTGTTCAGCCTGGACACAAAAATGCTTAGGGGAGACCTTATTGAAGCCTTCCAGTATCTAAAGGGCACTTACATAAAGCAAATCTTTACAGTAGATGGTGATAGAAGAAGAGGGAAGAGTTTTAAACTGAAAGAGCTTTTGAGTAGATGTTAGGAGGAAATTCTTTACTCTGAGAGTCGTGAGGCACTAGAACAGACAACCCAGAGAACATCTAGACGTTCCATCCTTGTGATGTGTTCAGAGCCAGGTTGCATGGGGCCCTGAGCGACCTGACCTAAAGGGTGACATCCCTGCACATGGGGTAGAGGTGAGAGCTTGATGATCTTTAAGGTCTCTCCCAACCCAAAGCGTTCCATTATTCTGTGATTCTCCGAAGTTCTAAGGAAAGGTGAAACATTATTCTGGGACAGCTTTGAGGTCTCTGAGGAGAGGACAACATTCTTGGGAAGAGCCAGGCTGAACAACTTGAGTGTGCTCAGTAGGTAAGTCTGATGTAAGTCTAGTAGTAGATAGAGGAAGACTTTTTTTCAGATTGAGTATTTTTTGTCCTTTCTGTACTGCTCCTGCCATGGTTTAGCTTGTCAGTAAATTTAACACCCTCTGTGGTAGTGTGTTGAAGAACGACCATTGGATGTGCTGAATTGAGTAATTTCCTCCTCCCAGTCATTTGATGATTTGTCCACCTGAAGGGCTTTATAACATTTCTATTTATTTTATTTTCAGGTCTAATCTGCGCAGGCAATATGTTGCTGTTTCCAGTCCTTCTTGCAACTTCATTTTGGTCCTGTAAGACCTTTTTCCTCTTCTCTCTCCTTTCTGTCTACAGTGAACGTAAGCCTTGTTCCAAACTCCGGGAATTTCTCTGCTCATGCAATTTCTCTGCTTTCACTTCCAGATGTAGACATGCAGTCAGTGCCAGTGCAAACCCCAGGGGTGCAGATGCAGAGGAATGGCATGTCTGCCAGCATGTCATGTCGACTGGGAGAGAAGAACGTTGTGCATTGGTACAGGCAGCTTCCCGGACAGCCACCAGAGAGGATACTGTACGAGTCTGGAGGGACACCTGTTTTTGAGGACAACAATGATAGAGATAGATTTCAAGTTCGAAATCATCCTTCTCAGCCTGTGTATGAGCTTGTGATAAATTCTTTAACTCCGAGGGATTCTGGCACTTATTACTGTGCATACTGGTACTACCACAGCATAAGTTTGGCAAAGATAAGCCTTACAAAAAGACTCTTTGTCCTCTGAACCGCAAGCTGTGAACTCTGCCAAAAATTCAAATACTTCCTTACTCCGCCCCTTTCATGATTTTCTGCAGCAGGAGAGGAAAAACAAAGCCTTATGACAAATGTTAAATATCTGATGTTGACAACAGGTATATAATTTCTGTGCTCAGATTTTTCTGCAATATCCAGAAAGTGAAGCCTTCCTGTCACTTAAGATAAATATGTGAAACGTTGCTCCTAAAATGAAGGCTATATTTTACTGAAAGCGCTCACCTGACAGTGACACAGTCTCTGTGTGTGAGTTATAGATTTCTCTTCTCTCTTCATCCTTTAGTATTTTCTCTTGAAAAAAAGCAGGAATAGGAAAGAAACAGGAAGACCAGCTGATCTTGCACATCCTCCTTCATATTTTCCTTTTGCCTTCCTTTGCATCTCAGCCACTAAAAAGTCCTACAACAGCACAGAAAACCTAATTTTTTCAACACAATTCCTCATTTGATATGTCCAAGGCATGAATTGAAGTCCTCAGCCACAAGCTATACCACAGACAAGCAAAGACTCTCAGAGCCTTTGGGTTAAGTGTGCTGAGTTTTAGAAATCAGATTCTACAATCAAAGACTGGTTCCAGGAAAGCTGGCATTTTTCCTGAAAGCTAGGTCAAAACACTGAGATACTTTTATGTCTTACATTTTCTGAATTGGAGTGCACATGTTCAGTATCTTTTAAAAATGAGCACAAATACCTCCACGGTGATGGATTTTTAGTTCTACAGGCTCTGAACATTTTTTGCTAAAGCTTCTATGTGATTTAAGTAAATAACATCTTGCTGTGGATGTTTCTGTCTTCGTCAACTATTTGAAAAATAGGTTGTAGTACATGTGACCTCTGATGTTAACTTCAGTCACAACTTTTGTCATTGTATTGTGGGATCTGAGGATTCCTCACAACCAGTCTAGGAGGTTTCAGGAGTGAGCTGGCAGCAACTTCCTGACATGGATGATTGGGCAGCCAATAAGGACCTTGTTGTTGTGGATGGAAGGGTAAGGGCAGCCTTGGCTGCAGTGACTATGAGCCAGTGGCATTCAACTCCTGAGAGAAGGCAGCAGGGCAAAAGGCAGGACCTCAGCCCTGGACTTCAGGAGAGTAGCCTTTAAAATTCTTCAGAGATCTGCTTGGAAACATCACAGTGAATACAACCCTGAAGTGTCCAGGAATGCTACTTGATGTCCAAGAATCTTCTCCACGTTTAAGAAAGGTCCAGTCTGACACCTAGGAAACCAAGTAGAGGCAGCAGGAGTATCTCAAGAGTCAGCAAAAAGCTGCTGACTTTAATCAGGCATAAAAATGAAGTATAAAAGAGGTGGAATCAGGGGCTGGCGATCCAGGACGAGTATGGAGCTGCTGTTCAACCATGCAGGAATGGACTTAAGAAAGCAACAATCCAGCTAGAATTGAATTTGGCAAATGAGGTAAAGGGGAGCAAGAAAGGATTCTAAATACAGCAGCAGCAAAAGAAACACTAGGGAAAGCTGCTGGATAGGGCAGAGAAACTGGTGATGTATGACATGGAAAAACCTGAAGTACTCGGTATTTCCTTTGCCTCAGCATTTACCCATAAAATGGCCTTCAGGTATCCCAGGCCCCTGAGACCAGATGGAAAGTTTGGAGCAAGAAAGATACAGCCTTTGGTGGAGGAGGATCAGCCTGGGCTCACCAGTCACAGGGGAGACCCCACAGCATCAAACCCACTCATCAAGATGTCTCTGCAATGGCTGTTGACAACAGATGTTCTCTTTTGTTTTCCAGCCTTTTTTCCAAGAATTGTTTGCATCTCAGCTAGCTGTGAAACTGAAATCCTGCGGCTGTGCATTTCCTCCCGCACCCCAAATCAAAGCAAAGGCAAGTCCCAACAGTCAAGCTTCTGCAGTCACTGCAGTCTCTGCAGGTTGATGGTCTTCAGCTTTGGTGGAGGGCAGTACCAGCACAGGGGCACCCTGGGCACTTCTGCACCTTGCATCTAGGTGACTAAGCTGGAGCAGCAAAAGGCAGTCCTTGCCTACTCTGACACTGTGCATCTCTCTGCACCTCTCAGGTGAGGTATGCAATCACTGCCCACCAGGGTAACCTCCAGACTGAAACCTTCACTCCACCATACATATCTGGACATGCTCTTGGTTGCAACCTTTTCTCAGTCACTTTGACTGAGTTTTATAGGGCCACAATCCTTGGATTTTATCAATATTTCCCATATTTACTTGAAAAGCAGACAGGACTACAGCCTTTTTACCAATTTTAATGTTTGACAGTTCAGAGAGGCTTTTCTGCAAAAACACCCCATCTGCTTGCACACAGAAATTTCATCGCTGAAGACCATTCAAGAGAGCCACTTCCTCCTTCCGTACAAAACAGCTCCCATTTGGAGTCCCTGTCTTCCTCCTTTGAATCTCAATGAGAGCAAAGCGTGACAAGCAAACATGCTGCTGCTCGTAGTGTTTGTGGCCACAGCCTCTTGGTCTTGTAAGTACTTCCTTAATTTCCTACCTTTCCTCACAGGCACCCATGGCTTTGCATCCATAACAGGCATCTTTCCAAATCCCTGAATTCCAGCTAATTACATAATTTATCCTCTTCTCTTTCCTAGATGGATTTGCACAGGAAATTCCCATGCAGAGTCCCATATCCATCACCAAGTTTCAAAAAAGTGCACGGATGACATGTGAAATTCAAACATTAGAGGCAAATTTTGATGACATCGTCATACACTGGTATAAGCAGAAGGAGGGTGAAGCTCCAGAGAGGCTTCTGTTTGTTTCAGGAGGCAAAGTTGCCGTTGAAAGTGGCTTTCAAGCAAACAGATACATGACTGAGATAAGTTCTGTCCAGAAGCGGTGTGTTCTTACAATAAAAGATGTAATTCCAGATGATGCTGCTACTTACTACTGTGCCTACTGGGATCCTCACTGTGATAGAAACACAAAGATCATCAAGGCAAAAAAAACCCCGCAACATCTGAACCACCAGGTTGTAACTGTGCCACCCCACCAGTCTTCTCACTGCTTCTGAGTGAGCTGCTGAAAAGCCCAACCTTTTTCTGCTACTCCAAAAGAGTGGGTAATCCCGCACAGATGTCCTTCTCAAAGTCTGGTTTATCATTAGCAGTCCTGTCTTCAACACACATCTACTATTTTAAGGGCAAAGGAAATCTTCACTGCCTTAAAACTTAGCACATAAATACTGGACCTGCTCCTTTGGTGCTTTTACACAGCCATGACATAATTCTGGCAGTCTTTAGGGGAGCAAACAGAGAAGCAGTAATCTTCTAGTCTGGCCACTTTTCTCCATAGGAAAGAGTAGGCAGAGAAGAAATACAGTGTGCTGAAGGAAGTACCTCAGTGGTGGGAATTACATGCTTGCCCCTGCCTAGCACTTTTGAGAAAAAGCTTCACCATGTGATATTCTCTGCTGTACATGTAAGCAACTGCAAGATGTTGGAAAAACTGTAAACCCTGTCTACTCTAATTCAGTTACCACAAAATTCCACACAGACCTGTTCAAATTAGAGATTTGCAATGTATTGCCTACCAGAGCTGATGATGTGCTGCTTATAACCATCTTCTTTGTCCATTTCATGTTAAAACAATGATTGTCATGGTTTAGGAATGGTATCCCCCAATTTAGTGTTCCCACTGAATCACTCCAAATGTTGTGCTGCTCCCTCACTCCCACTTCCCCTTCCCCCTACTACCTGCAGTGAGCTAGAGAGGAGAACTGAAGGCAGAAAAGTAAGAGATCCTGGTTTGACATAAGAACAATTTACTGGAAACAGCAATGCGATAAGAAAAGGAACAGTAACAGTAACAATACTAACAATAGTGTTCAAGAAAGAGGCAAATGATTCATGTGCAGAAAGTCACCACACAGAGCCATGTAAAACATGAACCACTGCCATGCTACCCCAACCAAGAGAGACCCCCTTTTCCCCTGTGCCCATCAGTGACACAAGGTGGTGTAGAACACAGGTGCCCCTCCTGCTACTGCAGAAATTGACCCTGTCTTGGCCAAAGCCAGGACATTATCTGTTCCTGATTCTATACCATCTATATCATACTCAGATCCTACACCTTCCAGCTATGTATATATATATACATATCCATATAAATACAAAAGTATGAATATAATTCCTATAGTCAATGGCCATCCCTCCAAGATATCTGTTGAGTTCATTTAGTCCATGACTGTGGATTCTATCTGTCCTAGGTGTCTTCCAGGGCAGGAGGGCTGGTGTGCTGTTGGGTGGTTGCAAGCTGCATCAGGAGATCATGACTGGTGTATCTGGGGCAGTCCATGCTCATCGTCCATGGTGGCTATGGCATACAGTGGCAGTGTCATTCAGCAACCTATATTATACAATTCAACATTACAGACTGTTCTTACCAAAAGATCAAATCCCCTTGAGGGACAAACTGCATTTCCCCATCCCTCTGCATTACCCACCATGTGTACCCAGGCCCTTCACCAAAAAGAATCTCATGGATGGCTGTCCCTTTGCTTGAGGCAGGACTAATGCAAATTGTCTACCTCTAACATATATTCCTCATATGCACCATGGGCTTTATCCCCTTCTCTGTTATGTGGAGGCTTTGATATTCCCAGAGGCTGATGTATGAGAGAAAATACGATACACCCACTCAATAATACTGTGCTCTCTGGCCCAGCTGTCTGTAAGGCCATTTTTAGAATAAGTCTGACTCATTTCTTTCTGGGATGCCACATTGCCATAAAACTTGCTTTTCAAGGCCCAAGATGGTGGTCTTGTCAGTGGTGTGAGGCACAGGGTAGGTCTCCAGCCATCCAGTGGTTGCTTCCCCCATTGTAAGAATGCAGCAATTGCCTTGGTGGGTTTGCAGGAGTGTGATGCAAGCAATTTGCCAGACTTCCACGTATTTATATTTCAAGCATGGTTCCCCATACCTCAGAGGTTTTACCCTCTTGGCCTGCTTTACTGCAGTGCATGTTTCCCAGTTGTGGATAATCTGTTAGACAATGTCCATGATTAGGTCCACCCCTTGATCAAGAACACATCTGTTTGTTGCATCGCTTCCCTGATGACCTGAGGTGTCGTGGGCCCAGTGAGCAAGAAATAATTCATCATTGCCAGTCAAGATCCATCTCAGACACTAATTTTGGCAGCCCATTCCACCTGTCTGTTGTTGTGGCCAACTCTTGGGCACTTGTGCATTTACACGAGGTACTTCTCCAACCAGCTTCTGTACCAGTGATGTCTTGCCACAGTTCAGCAGCCCAGATGCGTTTACTTCTGCACTGCCAATTGTTCTTTTCGCATCTCTCTATCCACCCCACAGAGCATTTGCTACCATCCATGAGTAAGGGTTGAGGTTGAGCACAGGCCATTTCTCTCATTCAGTGATATCTAAACCCAGCTAGGCAGCTTTCAGCTCTGCAAATAGACCTGATCCACCCTGTGCCTCAATAGCTTCTGCAACTCACCATGTAGGACTCCATATATTAGCTTTCCATTTTCAGTGTATCACTAAAATACAGCAGGAGCCAGCAGTAAAGAGAAGGTATCACTTTTCATTTTCTGGTAGCTGGTTATATTGTAGGGCTTCTTCCTCCTCTTCTATTTAAACTTCCTTTGCTGTGCTGCACCACACAATAATGTCACCATTATATTGCAAGTATTCTGTGGCCTCATTCTTTTCCAATACAGTCTGGATCAGTCCATGGCAAATAGTGGGGCTGTTTCCACACCTGAGGCAGCCCATTCCATGTTTACTGGATACCCTTCCAGGTAAAAGCAAACAGTAGCCTTCACTTTGCTGCTAAAGGAATGGAGAAAAACATAATAGCAATGTCCATGGTGTCACCACTTTGCTGCCCTGTACTCCAGTTCACACTGAAGGTCCAGCATGTCCTTCACAGCAGCACCCAGTGGTGGTGTGACTTCAGCCAGGCCCCGATAGTCCACTGTGTCTCCACTGGACTTACACACTGGCCATATGGTGCTATTAAAGGGTGAGTGATTCTTGCTGACCACCCCCTGTCTCTCCAGTTCATTAATCATCTCATGGATGAGGGTCACAGAGTCCCAGTTAGTGCAGTATTGTTGATGATGCACTGTTGTGGCAGTGATCAGTACCTGTTGTTCTTTGACCTTTATCAGTCCTACAGCAGAAGGGTCCTTTGAGAGACCAGGCAAGGTGTTCAGCTGTCTAATGTCCACTGTCTCCACAGCAGCTATCCCAAAAGCCCAACAATGGCCTCTTGGGTCCTCGAAATACCCTCTCCCAAGGTAATCTCTGTCAAGGACACATGGGGCCTCTGGCCCAATTAGAATGGGGTCTTTTTGCGTTCTGTTCCCAGTCAGGCTCACCTCAGCTTCCAGTACTGTCAGCTGTTGGGATGTGCCTGTCACCCCAGTAATAAAGACAGATTCTGTCCCTATAAATCTTGATGGCATCAGGGTTCATTTTGTGCCAGTGCCAACTAAAGCCTTACAGTCTTGCATCAAGCCATTAGATTCACACAGTCCAATAGATCTGATTGTCCCTTTTCTCCACCTGGCTGAAGTCTCCTCTGCTTCTGCTCATGGTACTCATTTCTCAGTTCTTGTAAACATGAACTAGAGGTCCCTTCAAGAGGATCAGAAGTAACATCAGCCCTCCTGCTTTGTCTGAGGATTTGCCCACTGTAAAGTGGAGGGGCATTTATCCTTGAAGGATTTCCTGCAGAAGTTGTCCTGGGTACAGAGCTATAAAAGAGGGGTGGAGTTTCTAACACCGTTTAATTCCATACCATTTACATCATGGCTGGAGAAAAGCAGAAAAAGCTGAGCAAGCTGCATCAGAAACTGGAAGCAGTCAGTCTCACCTTGGGCATGGGAAAGAATAAACTGTTCCCTTAAACACAAGGTCATGAGAAACCCAAAAGGGGTAAACGCTGCTACTGCCACAGCTGCTGCTACTGTTGCTGTTAATTCTGCAGCTGCCAAGAACCCCAATGCAAGCTGCAGTGCCCACCAGGACCACTACTGGGATAACCACTGCCCTGGGGAAAGGGACCCTTGCATTGGGGCCACTGCTGCAACTGACGGAGCCAGCATTTTTCAGCAGCATAGATCCCATTCAGACTCCCTAGCTAGTTTCCCAGGTGCTGTACGGCCCAGTGCATGGGAGGAGGGGCCAGGTCTCACTTTCTTCTTTGTCTCAGGTTGTGCAGGATCATGGCTGGTGAATAACCTTCTGTATGTAAATCACCTTTGTTTTGTGTACTTTAATATAGTTACTGGTAATTTGTCTTATTTTATTAATTTTTTTTTTCTCAAGTAAATGGTTCTTAACTCAGAACCTCTGCTTTTAATCTCTCACTAAGACAGGGTTTGGGGGGAAAGAGAAGCTTAAATGGGGTTTAATTTTCCACCTGTGTTTTTAAACCAGCACACTCTTGTACTTGTGCTGCTAGAGCAGAGGTGCTTCCTCATGTCCTGTCTGTAGTCATACAGGTAAAAACACCTCTAGGTTACCTCGTGGTACGTAGCTCTCTCCTGAGCAGGGAGCTGCATGCTCCCAGTAGGAGAGACTGTGGTCCATACTGGCAGAACATCAGACATTTCCTCTCTAATATGCTTGAATCTTTTGAGTCTGTCCAGAGCCTTGGGCAATGTTTCCACATCCAAGGCTTAGGTTGGAAGGGAGGAAAAAAGAAGAACATGTAGTCAGAGTCAGGTAGTCACCTGAAGCAGTGTTTCTTCTTCTTTCATTGACATCAATGAAAAGGATTTCAAAGGGTTGGTGTAAGATGATGGCAAGCTCCATACAAACTTCTGCCACACACCTTGTGTACACTGAACAAGAGACTGCTTGTTATTTGAATCCCTAAAGATTACCTTCAGCACAGCTAATTCGCTCAGGTACTGGATACCTTTTTCCATGGTATTCCAGCTACTTGGGTACACTGTTGGGTCATCTTTGAGAGAATGAAAGAATCCTTTCCCTTCCACTTGACAGGAGTTGCCTTCAGAGGCTGAAAGTTTCTGTCCTCTTCCCAATCCCCTTGCCAATGCTCAGATCCCAGAGCAAGGATCTCAGCTGCTTGGCTTCACTACCATCTACTTTTATGTTGTGGACCACAATTTCCCAGCATCAGAGCAGGAAGGTCACCAAGGGCTCTCCTGACTGGCAGCTGAAATCTTTTCACATATCTCACAGCTCACCTGGGGTAGGGATTAATGTCTATCTCTGGCCTTGCCTCTTCCTCCTGTTGTGAGCTGCTGTAGTGGTTTTGCCTGCCTCAGGACTACTCGGAGAAAGTCCGCATGGCAAATAAATAGAGACGGGCATGACTTAGTGACCTGAAAATAAGAGATAGTTTCAATCTGCAAAAACAACAAAGAGCAGAGACTGCAAACAGGGTATAGGGTGCACTAAAAAGGCAAGGGGCAGCGTAGGATTGGTGATATATATAGGATAAGTTAGGTGAGGAATATGAGGGACAGGGTACCAATCACAAACTGGGTTAGGAATATTAATATCAATACAGCAAATAAAAACCAATAACAACAGGAGGAACAAAGAACTTTCTAGTAATCATTTTACATATGAACTCACAGGGGGCAATGGGGGTGAGTTTTTGCTCACCATAAGAGGATTTCTCCCGCAACCTTAGAGCAAAACCTTCATCTCACTCAAGCCCAAAGCTGTAGATGTCAGGGGTGGGTGAACTTCCAAAACATTGGAGCACAGAAATCCTTCAAAACTGGCCCATTATCTCCTTCCTTTCATGGTACTCATGACTATCCACTCTCAAGTTAGATCTCTGAATAACCCCCTATGTATCTCTGTCCTGACTCTAAACATGATGCGGGCCGCACTGAGGGGATCTGGCAACAAGAATATGCTTTCTTTAACACCCAAGGGAAATTCAAAATTCTCAAAAGCTGTTGTAACAGGCCTGAAGCAGAAAAGGGGGGTGAAAATCTTGGGAAAATCATCCTCTTCCTCCTTCCACAAACTGGCTATGATTACTAACAGATCCCCAAAGGCTGTGCCCAAGGTAAGGGTAGGAGAGCAACACTGAATACACATCCCAAATGTTCCTCATTGACTTTTATGTTGTCATGTCATTAGCTAATATCCCCCAATACATCAACAAAGAAACCCTGATCCTTTTCCCTGCTCTGAAAAAGAGCACTGCAAGGAGCACACAAAGGAGTATATACAGGGTTAGGTACCACAACCATGTGAACAGATCGAGCAAATTTGTTTTAACCATCTCTGGACAGACCTGTCATTATCTCAATGTTTCATACTCCATTTGAACACCAAGTAAGGCTGTCATGGCTTAGGAATGGTACTCCCCAGTGTAGTGCTCCCATGCTCTTCAATCCATGTTATACCTGCTACCTCCCCCTACTCTCTTGTGGAGGGCTTGAGATTAGAATTGAAGGCACAGAAGGCAAAAATCATGGGTTGAGATAAGAGCTATTTACCGTAAACAGCAATGAGATAAAAACCAAACAATAACAGCAACAATGTTAATGATGAATTGTGTAACATACATGATTCTCATGTGATTGCTTGAAACTGGCGTTAGCTGACTGCTCCCTCCAGCCCAGAAACAGTATTACCCATCTGCTCACTGTGCCACATGTCCTTGACCAGAAGGACATATTGTCAGAGTCAAGTAATCACCTTATCCCCCAGAAAAGACTTCATTCCCCCACATCCAGCAATAAGGTGAGGTTATGTAGAGTAACTTGTGTGTCCTAGCCATGCACTCTCCCATCTACTGCAAAAATTAACACTGTCTGGCCAGAACTGAGGTGATTTCCTTCACTGCATGTCAAAGGGTGAAGCAGGAAAAGCACCAGTAAGCGTAATTCTGACTATGCCACTCCTGCCCTTGATTTGTGGTTGTGATTAGGAGGTTTCTGTTCAGAAGATTTCAAAGTAGACCACTGGGGTTTTTGCACCTACTTCAGGTGAAAGACCTTCACCCTCTAGTTCCTCTCTCTCACCACAAATAGTAATTTCTCAACATAATTTTGCAGTCAGTATGCTACAAGAGATCCCAGGAGTAAACTCTAACTCAGTTTACTTTAAATGCCAAACTAAGCATGCAGGCTGTTTGATTGACAGTAGTAGTGACTCCTCTGATGTTATCTTGGGCTGTTTTATAAAAAAACCCACTCAAGGAACAGCCTCCTTTTCCCACCAGTTGTTATATAAAAAGCTGCCAGTGAGTTGCTGCAGCAAAGCCTGGAATGATTCCAAGAGATGGGCAGACAATAACCACTTACTTGGGACCTCATGCAGCACACAGACACTTTCACAGTGCTTTTGGTGCTGGCTTTCCCTCCTTTCTCTTTTCTGTGTTCCAACAATGAAAATTGACTCCGTGCTAGTAGTACTTGATATCATGTAATTGCAGGTGGACACCTTTGGTAAAGAGCAGGATTTTCATCTGAAGGTACATGTTTATTTTAATGCAGAACTTTGTGTTCTTTTTTACTGTCTAAAATCGAAGAGAATTCATAATCTAGTTCTAAGACATTAGGTGGAGGGTTATCTAACAGGAAAGAGGTTTTTTCTGAAGGACATTAGCTATCGGCTGAATATCCAGATGCACATCTGAAATTCCCGATGACCTCCCAGCAGCCAAGGGCCTGGTCTTCATTCAGACTCCCATGGATGATTGGGAAAAGTTGGGATTTTCTTCATCAATGGTACATCAAGAGAGCATGCTGGCTTATTGTAAAGTCAAAACATAGTGTGGAGCACCTGGATCAAATACTTCGGCATGGGAACAAAGCTAGTTGTCTCTGGTAAGTACCATTATCATTGAACATATTTTCAGATAATCATTCAAGTTCTTGGATAATCAAGAATGAAAGACTGTGGGGAAAATTATTTTGTCCCTGTTAAATCATATTTTGTTTGTGAACAGCGCATGGTGCCCCAGTTGGGTAGGGAGATTTATATATTGGGATGGTTTCATCCTGTTCTAGGAAACAATAGTGAACTGCTTGAAAGTTAACTCCTAGAACTGCATGTGAGAAATGAAAAAGCTTCTTATTGACAGAAGTGGTCTAAATTGATTGGGAAGAAAAATTCCCTGAGTGCAATACATTTCTAATTCCTGACTGTACTGAAAGCAACTGGTTTACTTTTGTATTTGTATTATTTTCACTTGTGGTGAAGCTATGCAATCAAAAGGATGAATGCTGTTTTCAGTATAAAGCATATAGCAATGCCAAGAGTATGTTACTCAGAAACTACATGACATTATCAAGGTGGCTATAATTAATTCAAATTGCAAACTGCTGGGGAGAATTGCAGAGAAATTTAAAATGTTTTCTATCCATGCCTCTGACCAAAAATTTTCAGAACTTTTTACTCACTACAAAAATTAAAGTATTTCTAGAAATGGCCCTCTAAGCAAAGTTGAAAATTCAGCTAAAGCACTCAGTCAGATTTATCACCAGCCTCTAAACCAGAAAGACTTTTTCTGTAGCCTATGCAAGAAATGTGCAGTGCAGGAGATATTGATAAGCATTATCAGACTGTGGGTCCTGATGTCAAAATATTTGGAAGTGGAACTGAACTTAGAGTTTCAAGTAAGTACAAAATGTAAAACTTGACTACTTCTGAAATGCTTTTTAATACAGCTAGATATTGGCTGGCATGAAGTGCTCTGATATTTTAATCTCTCTAATTCTAACTGTTCTGAATACTTTGCAGGATTTTTCCTTAAACGGCATTTCCATTTGCATTTGCAGAACAGAATGTAATTGTTCTGTATTTATGCATGAAATGGGGGAAACACAACAGCTATTGCAGCAGAGACCTATAACTTATCCCATTATGATTTTCTATGTAAAAATGAATTTAAATATGGCAAAGACAGCATTTGGAGAACAGAGAAATGTTTTTTATCTCTAGATATGCACATTTGACCTTCGTGATATTCCTAATTCATTCTGAAAATAGTATGTCCAACCTCTGTGTTACATACTCTTTGAAAAGCTCAACATTTTTCTTTTGGACTGTATCTGACTATGAATGAAAATGAGTTATCTCAGATATGCCCAGAACAATAAGTTTCACCTTTAAGACAGGCAGAGTTGGAAGGCTGTTCTCTCTTCCTAGGTTTTGCAGAAACTGCTTATTATCAGTTATTACTACTATTCTAAATATTTTGCCTCAAGTAAACCCTAGGTGCTGTGATACTTGCCCGTAATCTGGCTCAGCTAAGCATCTGAGATGAAAATAGTTTGTCTAATTTTGACCAGCTGAAATGGTGTATCTTCTTAGTGGGAATTTTGATTCCAATCAATGCAGTTTTCCTTCATGTTACTGTTAACAAAAAAATTGGTCAATAGTCTCGTGCTCCTCAAATCTCTAAATAATGTTCAGCAGCTCTGGGTCTGATCTTACGGGGGTGTATAAGGAGCAAATTACTTTATTTTTCCATTTTTTTAAACTTTCGTTTATTTTGGGTGACTGCTCCTTTTTCCCTTCCCTAGCATCTAAAAATTGATTATACAGCAAATCTGATTCTCTTTAAAGAGTACTATATACCCATGCAAACACAGCTGAGCTGCACTGATATTGTAAAGGCTTTATTCACTGTGACTGGTTATTACAACAAGGTGTTCGGCTCAGGTACAAAACTCATTGTCTCAGGTAAGTTGTACATTTATTGTTCATGAAATAAGCTATAGGAGCTTGGAGTGGTCATGTAGATGAGTATTATACTATCTCAGAGGTCACTCAGTCCACTTAGAACCTCAGTCAGCACCATTCCTTGTGCAGGATTTTCCTTCCCAGCTCACCATTCCTACACTCATCCTTGTATTTGTAATATAGTGGTTTAGGATCACAAACATGCCTAAAAAGAACCTATTTCAAGCCACTTTTGATCATAGTTCCCCTAAAAATCTGGTGGAAAATGGTCTGTAGTAATTTTCAGAGACCTCATACTTTCCTCCAGCTGTACTGAAGGAATTAGCAGTGAATCAGGCAGCTGAGAATTAAGCATGAAAAAAGAAAACCTCTTTCTAGTACAGATACAAAGAACAGTATGCAGTGGACATTGCAAAAAATCCTTTTGGAATAGGCTAGAAAAAGATAAATAGCTTGTTCATAAGTATTTTATCACATATGCGACCTTCACCATTAGAAATAAATTAGTACCTCCAAATGTTCTTCTCATTGCTTGATAACTGCTTAACAAATTAATTAATTATTCAGCATTTATTATGGTGAATTACTGCTTAATAATTGCTTAATGAAGAAGTGATCCTTTTTTGTCTTTCTTGCAGAGGCATTTATATTAATGGAAAGTAGCAGACAAAAATATTTTTTCCCATTTCCTGCATGTGCTTTAAATGCCATAATCCTGAAGTGAACAACTAAACAAATACAAGGCGGAGGAAGTACTGCTACCAAGAGTTTTAAGCCTGGTTAATACATAAACCTATATTAACATACCAAGCAAAGATTGGTTCAATGATTTACTCCAGAAGGACTAAGTAAATCATACCTGTAATTCACTGGAAATATCTGTGGCATGATAAGCGTGTTGCTTTTAGTGGAAACTCTTACCCACCTAATCAGGTAGTTGCCATGCTTTTCCTATATATAGTTTAAAATAAATTATTTTCAATCACCACTATAATTCTGTAGGATTTTGTCTTTATGAGCCCAAGGCTTTTGAATCATTAATTGAGTAAAAGAGCTGTAGTAACTTCATATTTAAGAACTTAAAATAATTAAGAAATTGAGGAAACCAGGATTTAAGATGAGGGTCTTTATGAATAGCAGCATTAGCTGAGATTGAATCCAGATATTTTACATTCACAAAGCCAAATCAAGAGAATCTTGTTGCTCATATTATAGTTGTTAAATCTGGTACTTTACTGGCCAAAATCATAGAATGGCTTGGGTTGAAAAAGATCATTTAGTTTAAACCCCAGTGCTGTGGCCAGGGACACTTTCCGCTAGATGAGGTTGCTCAGAGCTCCATCCAACCTGGTCTTAAATACTTCCAGGGATGGAGCATCCACAACTTTTCTGGACGCTCTCTTACAGTGCCTCACCACCTTCAGTAAAGTAAAGTAATTTCAGTACAGTAAAGAATTTCTTCCTAAGATCTCATCTAAGACTACTTTCTTTCAGTGTGAAGCCATTCCCCCTCATCCTATCACTACATGATCTTGTAAGAAAGTCTCTCTCTCCATCTTTCTTGTAGGCTCCCTTCAGGCATTGGAAGGGAGCAATTAGGCGACACAAAGCCTTCTCTTCTCCAGGCTGAACAATACCAGTTCTCTCAGCCTCTCCTCATAGGAGAGGTCTAATCAATGTGTTGGCCTCCTCTTGTTCCAATGGGTCAGTATCTGTCCTGTGCTGGGGACCCCAGAGCTGGACCCAGCACTCCAGGAGGGGTCTCATCAGAGAAAAGTAGAGGGGCAGAACCCCCTCCCTTGCCCTGCTGGTCACGTTGTTTTTGATGCAGCCCAGGACACGTTTGTGTCTCTGGGCTGTGAGTGCCCATGGGTGGGTCATGTCCAGCCTCTCATCCAGCAGCACCCCCAGGTCCTTCTCAGCAGGGCTGCTTTCAATCTGTTCATCCCCCAGCCTGTGTTGATACCAGGGCTTGCTCCAACCCCTGTGGAGCACCTTGCACTTGGTCTTGTTAAACATGATGAAATTTCCATGGACACACTTCTTGAGCTTGTCCAGGTCCCTTTGGATGTCATCCCATCCTTCAGATGGCCGTTTCTGTAAAGGAATGTAACGGTGTGGGAGGGAATTTGGTATTCGGTTCTGGCGCAAAACTCATTGTCTCCAGTAAGTTTTTTCACAGTCTTATGCTTTTAAAAGTTTTGCAATAGGAAAGCTTTGGAAAGAAGGCTGACAGGCCTTTAAGGTATCTGGAAAGGCTCACCATAGGTCAGGACTATACTGTATCGTTACCCATTATAATCCCTGAAGTGGCTGTCAAGAAGGACAAGAATGCTGTTTATGAGCTGAGTGTGCTGAGTGCCCTCAGGTCCCACTGGCTTGGAGTGGAACAGAGGAGCTTCGAGTGTCCGTATGAAATTACTCCATTTTGTAGGATCATCCAGTTAGTGAGAATTAAAATTTCAGTTTAAGAACACAGTGACTTTATTAATAAATCTCATTTATAGATACTTATAAAGAAACTGTAGAGGAGTTTCATTAAGAAAACTTTTGACAGCTAATCTATATAAACATATATTTTGAACTTAATTTTTTAATAGCTCGTTGGTTATGAACCTAACTCCAGTATATAGTTTGAATAGTGTTTTACAGCCTTGCTGCATTGTCACACAAGAGAAAAGACAAATGTTAGTTTAAGAAATATCTGGTCATACCTCTATTTTATGTGTAAAAGTAACATCTATATATCTCTTAAAATCTGCCTTAGAAAACTGTTTAACAAGGTAAACCATAACATTTTTCAATGTTTACCTGAATCAAAACTGACAGAGGAGTGCAAATTCAGTACTTTAAAATTCTTCAGAAAGAATCAGATAATTTGCCTAGAAAATCCAGTGTCAGCTATCTTGCTGACTTCAAAGACTTTGCAGATCAGCCTGAAAATACATCAAAACCTACAGCCAATTCTACAAGTTTTCGTCTTTTTTTTTTTTGAGAAACATGCACACAAAGATTTTTTTCTCACATAAAAAGATACAGATAGGGAGATTAGATAGATAGATAGATAGATAGATAGATAGATAGATAGATAGATAGATAGATGATAGATAGATGCAAAACTTAATTCTTTCAGTTCTCCACTGCAATCCATTTACCCATATACATACAAGCAACACTTCAATGCGTGCACACAGCTGCAATTATTCAAGCAATGTGTTTCCTCAGTATTGTGTCACGATGTAGGTGTTTCATGTAAGCTGCATACCTAGGGTGTTTTTACAGTAAATGGAATGACATTGGCAATTCCAGAGGTGGAAATTATTCTATCATAACAGAAGTCTCTAAAATGAGCAGGATGAACTAGCAGTAGGAAGAATCTCTCTCGCCTCTCCATTTAAACTTGATATCCTAAGAGAATAACGTCAAACTATTATATGTACTGAAATTAGCTAGAACAACTTACTAAACTTTGAAAATCTAAAAGAAACTTCTAAAATATTCATGAAGCTTTGCAGAGTGCAATATTACTCAGACAAGAGCTACTTCATGATCTTGTGAACATATATATGACTCTGGAACAAATAGATAACTTTAGAAATTAATTTTTCATCCTTGGGAGGACTGATGCATAAAGAAGATAAAATTAACTCCTAAATTAATGTTAGAGAGCCATAAAGTTGTCAGCAACTTTATTTCTGGTACAACATAACTCAGTCCACAATGGCATCTTTAAAATTAAAGAAATTCTTATTATACAGAAGGTAGACACTCTTTTGAAGGTAGGTAGGTAGGTAGGTAGGTAGGTAGGTAGGTAGGTAGGTAATTTTTCTCTTTAAACACCAAGTTTGAAATACTTCAAGGATCAGTTGGTTGTTTCAGGGAGAATGCAATAAAGAAGATTTTTCTAGAACAGCCAGATTGTTTAAAGAAAAGTGAAAGGTTTTTGGCAAAAATGAATTTTATAGTAATGTATTTTCTCTTAATGCATTAAATTTGCATCGATCAGTCAGATCACAACTTAAACCCCATGCATCTACTTGCTCAAATTCAGTGGCAGAGACTTATATAGGAATTCAAGAGAAAAAGTGGGATAAAGGGACACCTAAAATGTCTCTGCCGCCTTCAAAAATAGTCTTAAGCAGTACTTTCTACGTAACAAAAGTCAGTTTTGAAAACTGTATTCAGCCTTCACTTGTAGTTAAGCATAGGCAGAAATGATTGCCTGTGAGCACTGTCTATGCACTCACTGCAGAAGTTAACATTTACCTAAATCAGACCCTTAAATTTACTATACATTTAAATAATATCAAAATGTCATTTCAGCGTGGACAAAATCTGGATTATCTTGTCTCCTCCTAATCCAGACAGCATCCAGGCTTAATCCAGAATGGCAAATGAAATGGAGATTAGGTGAAATAAATTTGTGGAAACAGCTCACTTTTAATTTTAAATATATTAATCCATGTTCATACTGAGCATTTTTCCCAAAGCACAACATCTATGCAGACAAGTCTGCCTAGATATACTGTTTAGATGTGACAATGTTATCCTGCTATAGCATGTACTTCTGCTTTAGTTTAGCTTTGGTTTTAAATTTTCAGATGTTTTAATTCAATCATTTAAACAGATCTAGTATGGCAGAATAGCATTGCCAGCCTTTGGTGTCTAGGGCATTTTGTGATTCCATTCTCCTGTCTTGATAAAAATCTTCACCTGGCAAATACATGGAATGCCTTAAAAACAGAGCAATCATTGTTATCTTCCCTTCCCTCACACCCTGAAAAGTATCACAAAATTAATATTGGCTTTTAAAAAATTAATAGATGTAGCAGGTGTTCATTATATAGCAGTGGGGACTTATACTGGGGTCATAAGACTGCTAAGATTTTAAAGGTAGGTGGTCTATGTTTAATATTCTGTGGACAAAATTTTAATGTACTTGTTTTGCATAAATATTGTAAAGCAATAATAAATTCCTCTTATTGAAAAAATGAAGCTTGTTCAGGAAATATTACTATTATTTAATAATTGTCAGAGACTTGAACAGTCAAATACACTCTGACAGCAGAACTGCTTGGAAGGTTGTGGGATATAGGCACTTCAGTAGCCACCTGAAGATTTCTAACTCAGTTTTAAGTGACATTAACAGCTATTGACATATTCAACAGTATTTCAGTTTCTTAATGTTCCTCAAAAGAGCATTTACATTTTTACAAGCATATTAATATTTGTTAATAAAGCATTTATTTTGTTGCTCTTCAGAATTTGTATTTTTGTCTGTGTATTTATTTGCTGTACACTACTAATCTTCCAACTTTCTGTTTTGTTAATTTTCTTCATCAATAACTATCCAGATAAAAGAAGTTCTCCCCCAAAGAACTCTGAAATCCTGCAGACAAAACATAAAAATCAGATCATGTATGTTTGCTTTATTGAGAAATTCTACCCAGAAGATATAAGGGTGACATGGACTGAAGACGAAAAGGAGGTAACAGACAACGTAGTAAAAGGTGATGCTTGGCAGGCCACAAAAGAGGAGGAATACTCAATTGCCAGTTGGTTAACTGTGCCAGCAGAGAGTGAAAACAAGAAATACTACTGCAAATATGAACATGAAGAGAAAAGTACTTCACTGCCAACACAAGGTATATTCCACATGTTAAAAATGTAATTTGGTGTACTATTATAAACATCATTTTTCTTTTCTATGAAATTAGAGTAATGATGCTTTCTATTATTGATGAAGACATCTGTGCTCCTAGGCACAATAGCTAAAGTACCCAACTTGAGAAACTACCAGAAGTTTTCCCAGGAAAAGTAAGTCAGCCTGTGTTATGGTCCTCAAGTAAGCATCCCATTGTAACAGAAAAATAATAGTTATTTTAAAGTAGTGAACCTCATCAGATGTAAACTAGCACAGGTCCAACAGATCTGCACTGAAACATGTCTGTTACTTTCCATACTACAGAAGTTTCTGGAAACAGCATTACCTCTCCTAGCTTACAGCTCTAAGTCCCTCTGACACCCCCTGACATTAGTCACAGCTATAAAAAACTAAGAAGTTAAAATGAGGTTACTGATAGCAAGTTTAAAAATATTACTTACCCACAATCCAGAAATAGTAAGTTAATACGCACGTATAAAAATAAGATTTTGTCTTTAATTGTGGAAAGATTGATTATGCAAAGCCAAATCTGAAAGACAATGCAACTTTAAAGAAAAATTAACTTCTATTCAATGAGAATTGTTTAAATCATCTATAAAAAAGTGGTCTAAATTGGTTTAGATTAATCTTCTCTCTGTAACCATCTCTGCTTAACTTGCTAAAAATTAACCTAACTCCAATGAGTGAGACCATGGCCATAAACAATTACGTTTCAACCTTCAAAATATATTCTGACAAAAATATATTTTAAACTTATTTAGATTGAGGATGTATTTAGAGATGCAATATAAATGTCTTTAATGTTTGTATCAATGCATACAAACAACATAACCAAGAACAAACTCCAATTTGCTACTTCAAGAACAAAAAGGATGTATTTTAGAAGGAAAAAAAACAGCACCAAGATTCCCAGTAGGGGAATTCCCAGTAGTTCTTTTCTGTTGAACAACCACTAAAATATTAACATATTAACTGAAGTCTCTTCCAATGTAAATGATTCTTTGTTTCTGAGAACAGTAGGTTGTGAAGGCAAGTGGACTTCAGCTTCTTCACTGACAAGGTCAGGTGGTCAAACTGACTCCTGTTCCAAATAAAAGGACTTTGCCAAGGAACAGCCTAATGGGCACATTCCTGAAAGGGCAAAGACACTTCTCCCACTTATGGCAACAAATACCCAGCCACTTCTTCGAGCATTTCTCCTCTTCAAATTCTCTCTGCAAATGAATATCTTGTGAATATCTGCTTTGCCGACCCATCTTAAGGCTCCGTTTTTTTATTTAATACTAACTTCCCATTTTCCCAGCCTTGTTCCTGTAAAGCCTCTTTTTTCCCCTATTTCTCAATTAATGTTTGTTAAAATTAAAGAAAAGCCTAACTGAGGCATTTAAACTCTCTTTCCAGAAGATTCTGTGAAGACTGCTTCTCAGGAAGAGGACTGCGGAACAGTTTTTAGTAGAGGTAATTTAATGTGTTAAAAGGTGGGAAAGTGATTCATGTCATGCAAGAGTTAAATATTGCTAAATATTATCTGAACATCACAAAATGTATCTTTCTTAGTAGCATGCAGGAAATCTTTCAAGTATGGGATTGGCAATTCAAAAACATTTTAGTGCTACTCTTAACTAACTTCTTATTAGGGGCTCTCCTACCTTTATCAGATAGCTTTAGAGTAAGATGCTACAGATGCTGTTTGGGCTACTAGATTATTAGCCTGCATTAAGCACCACCAAGTTTTTAAAAACCTGGAGTAGTTAAACACTTTGGCTGATGCTATATCAGCCTAGCAATTGCCCAGAACTTTGGACAATTTTTTTTTTTTTTTGCTTGAATGGTATTTAGGAAGTATCATCGGCAGTTATCTTCAATAAATACAACAGAAAAGGATTTAAACAAACATTGTACTAACTGCTTGAAGCACTACAGTTATGCTTTTGTCTTTACAAGGACACTGAGAGTCAGTTTAGTGCTAAGAAGCCCACTAGGTCTAGAACTCATTAGCAGTGCAAGGCCATTTAAAGAACAGAACAGATTTTGTATGTGTTTATGCTGTGCACTGGTGTCAATGTAATTGCAGCTGTAAACTGACTGCATTGTTCCATTTCTATCCATTTTTAGAATGCTATACAATGTTGACATTAAACAAGACTTTTCTGTCTATTTGTTACAGATCAGTTAATGCACAGGACAGCATATTTAGTATACATCATCCTTCTTCTGAAGAGCTCCATGTACAATATTATCATATTCTTCTTCATCTACAGAATGTGGGCTTACACCAAGCACCGAGGAAAGAAAGCATAAATGCTGTTTTAAGAAAGGCTACAAACTGATCTTCAATTTACTTAGCAGTACGTTTATCCATATAGAATCCCCTGCTCTCAGTGTTAGATGTAACGGCAAAAAAAAAATTCCAAAATAATTTTCTGTTATTAGTGCATAAAGGCTCATTTTGCTTTACTGCTAGTGTTTCTACATCAGTCTTGTTTTCTTAATTTTTTTCTGAATATTGACTAAAGACAGGCAATAGGAATAATGCATTTTAATCCAAGTCCATATTGCAAAATGAAGAAGGTAGCCATGTCAGCAGTAGCTATGCATCCAGAAGCTTGGGGGTATAACAGCGCTTTTGACATATAAAGCACAGATATGTTTTGTCACTGCATTTAAGGTCTAATTAGGAGCATTCCTGTGCAGTAAATTCACAGGTTTGGTTAATTTTTACTTTCAGTGACTTGTTGCAACTCTCATGTATCCAACAAATGAGGAATTGATTATTCTGAAGCTGTATGCTGTAATAGACAATTCAACTAAACTTTAAAAAGTGAACAAAAGAATTTTGAATGAAGAAGTCAAATGAGAATAAAAGCAATTCTAAGGTGCACATGTGCAGAAATTGAAGAAATCCACCAGCGACACAGTCTGAAAATCTGCCCATTGTAATTTAAAAAAAAGAAAACTATCACAATGATCATGATCATTACCTTGTTTAAAGACACCTTTTAAAACGGAACAAAACTACAGGTACGAATCTCTGATTTTCACAAAGGAAGAAAAATTCTCAGAGACTTTGAACTCTTAATCTCCCAGTTCCACACATCAATTCCTTTCAAATTTATGTGGAAAAATAGGAAGTAGACATATTGGGATAAGTCACTTGCTTGGTTTTGGGCAAAACACTGACCTAGGTTTTGGAGATATGCCCTGCAGCATATACATTCACTGTGTCTGTAATGATGATGGCAATAAAAGCTTTCCTCCAGCTGTCTTTATGGGGCCTGTGTTTGTTCTCCAGCATTTCCACAGCCTGTACAAAGATGTCTAGAAAACCTGATTAATTTCTCTGTTCGTATAAATTTCTCAGGAAATCAAAAGTCGTTAAAACATCACTTTTCTGCATTTCAATGTGCTAATAGGAGCACTTTGACATGGAACAATAAATACTAGTTTGTGACATCTTTTCTGTTACAAAACAGAAAGCTAATCTTTGTAACACAGTTAAGCCATGCCAAGGGAAAATGTTGTTACAACAGGACTGCCTCCTAGGGCTCATGCCATCATAAGGGAAAGAAAACGTACGAGGCTGAGTTCTAACAACCACAGCTATTTTACTAATGGCAAAGCAACTAATTACTGCCTTCAATGTCGTGTTGCTCTTCAATGTGAAGAAAGTTGTGATTTGCAGTTTTCATTTAAACTCTGAGAAATAGGTGGGATCCCATGCTGTTATTTATTAAGGTTTGGTTCCAATCAAAATTAAAAAAAATAAAAAACAGCTACAAAGGTATTTTTGGAATGCAGTAACTGTAGATTTCAGCAGTATCATGGATTTTACCTGGATATTATGCGGATCTCCTCTGTCTCTGCTAGACAAATGTTTGACTGCATTAAGGAACCAAGCTCTCTCACTATATGATCCCCAAATCCACTCTTTGTGTCTCCTACACAAAACTGAAAAATATTGTCCATGCAGTTCAGAAAAACAGAGAGAATACACAGGAAATCCCTTGCCTACATGCAACCCTAAACCATCATCTGTCAGTTTCAGGGGTTTTTCAAATACTTGGTTGCAGGTTTTACACCTTCCAGCAGTTCACATGTGCCTTAAGCTTTTTTATACAAACATAAACAGCTCCTACTAAGATTTTAATTCTTATTTATTTAGCACAAATAAGAGGAAAAGTAGAATTTAAAGGCATCTGGGTGCTGGGGCATTTGTTTACAGGAAGGTTTGGTTATCTAGTGGAAAAACCCTATAAACTGAACCAGTCACAACTGGTTCAGAGGAGGTGGGCTGTGATGAGAATGGGTGATTAGCTGAGGACAGTTAGACCACAGCCTTTTAACACAGTAGGCTTCTAAACCATTTCCTTTTAATACAAATAAAAAGTTACGAAAACCACATGCCTAAGTTACTTCTGAACACCACGGTGAAACTCACTGACACACCCTGGCCTAACTGCATGTTTAGGATACTTAGGGACTATTGCTACCCCAGTAACTCAGGGGCTGCAGGACGTCTGTCCTAAGTGCAGGACAGAGTTAGATGTTATCTATCAAGTGTAAACTTCTCTTGTTGGGACTTTGCAAAAACTTGAAAAACATGACTTCTCAAGTACTTATCTTACACAACTAATTCTCAGTGATTTCAAGCTTCTACAAGCATGAGCACTACTGCAGCTGCTCTACTGTTATAGAGTTGCAGAATTAATGCAAATACTACAGAAATGGTTACAGGCAATCTGGTGCTTCCAGAAAAGGGGAAAAGAATATAGAACACAATAGACTTTTGCCATGAGAGTACAAAGAAGTCATCGGCACAAACGAATTTATTTGTGTAAAGACATTTGCATATTCTTTATCATGTTACAATAATTTTGTGTTCTATATTGTACTATTACTTACACATGCTTGAGAATAATGACTTCTCAACAATCAAAATGACCTACAACAGGTGATACAGAAACCCTCTCATGCATTCTTCTCACATGTAGCTGTAAATGAGAAATATCTACGTAAGGATGATTGCAGTCTGCCAACAGCTAATATCTGTTGATACTAGGTACCAACACTAATAAATTTTAAGAGACATTCAAATTGTAGACTATTCAGTTCGGGATTTTTGAAACTGCTAGAGAAGCAACATACACTTAGAAAGTGATGAGAAAACAAAAAACCTCAGAGGAATAGGCTAAGCAGTTGTATCTCTGCACCTATGGACAGTCACAGGGAAATAAATCAAATGACAATTAACAAGTACTTGTCAAGTTTTAACTAATGAGTCCAAACTGTCATTAAATACAGTTCTACAACAGATAACATTTACTTCTTTCATTACCAGTTTCCTCATAAGGTACATGAGAACACAATTTCCAGTAACTTCCTAGTTCTTGAGATTAACCTCAGGAACCACAGAATGCATTTCGGACAAGTATTTTCATACCAACAGGGAGGCAACCTAATACACATATGTCAAGAAGATGCCTCGTGGTGAGATACTACAGCATATGGGAATCATTCTGTTTGTTTTCTAATTAATGAACTCTCTTAGCAGCTCCACTAGCAAGTCCAAATAACTGCTCCACTAGCAAGTCCAAATAACTTCTCCCAAAGATTTTCTTTTACAGAAGTGTAGATGAATAAAAATGAGATTCAAACCAACAAATATGTGGTAGGGGGGCTCAAATATGTGAAAATGGGGGGCTCAAAAGGAAAGGTGATCTACTGTTCTAAATGAACACCAGAAGATTTCAAATCAGAAGCTTCAGCTTCTAAAGAAAATTTCATTCTTATGCCACTTGGAGCTTTGTCATTAGTGGAAAAGTGAATGCATTGAGCAAGATAATCCTGAAAATAAATGAAGCATTTCCCAAAATGAGGAAATTATCTCTACACAGAACCAAAATGCACTACAAAAAGATACAGGTCTCTGCTGTGACAAAGTGCTCAGAGGCCTCCCACAAAAAAGCTTAGATGGTCACAGGACAGTGTGTCCAGAGACAGTTCCTGCATGAGGCACTGCCTTGCAGGAATGTGGCTTGCTGAATTAGTAACGTCAGGGAGATTTTTCCTTTCCCCTTCTAGAACAGCATAACTAGCAATCATTTTGAGGCTCAAATTGTAAAATAACAGTAGGAATAAACTTCTTCCAGAACAATTTTGAACTTGCTACTAGGAGAATGATGACTCAGCAACAATGATTACATATCTCATCCCTTCACATTTAATGTGAAGTCTCTAAGTCTCTAACCTTTCATATACTTTAATGTAATTTCATTTCTTATATCTATAAAGAGTGAATGAACCAACACTTTTTACTTGACAGCTACAGCAGACTAGGAGACAAAAGTGCTCAAGCTGTTACTAAGGCCCAAGCAGCAGCTTCTCAAAGTCAGAATGATGGTGGTCACAGGCCCCACACCACCACATGGAATGTGAGGCATGATACCTGAATTCACATACAACATTAACCTGCTTAAACTGTAATGGACAACAGTTTGTTCAACTCATGCATGTGGACAGGGAAGAAAAGAAGGAGTAAAAGGAGGGAGAATTGAAAACATTCCTACCTTCAAGTACAGTCACACATATAGGAACAAAAGGAGAACACTTCCAAAATTAACATAGTTTTTCAAAACTTACTGAATCTGCAAATTTGACTGCTACACCCACAGCAAAAGGCTGGGCATCGTCTTGAAAATGTGAACAGCTTATGTCCTGCAGTTTCAATTTGCTTTTTTTGGAGAAAGCACTGTTTCCACCAAGAGGCCTTATTAAACCAGCAATCAAAACCAGATCACTGATTATGTTTAACTAAAATACGTATTTTTTCCTTTTGAGCCATTAGCTCTTTAGTCTACAGTGTTCCCAGGGATCATGCCACTGCATAAAATTTCAAGAATCTCCACGCAGGAAAGACTGACTGTACCTGGAGCCTCATCATCCTGCCCAGTAAGTAGGTTGTTTAATTCATGACCTGTACTGTGGTAACCCAAGTTTTTCCCCTTCCATTTTCTATGTCAAAAACAGACCTTAATTCACAGTGCACTGGTACTCCACAGCGTTATACTCTTCATCATCCTGATGCCTTGTCACCCCAAGGCAGAGCTTTAAGACCCTTAGATCAGGACACTGCAAGGTTTCTTGCTGTTTTATCAAGTTCTAATTCATCTTGAGAAAGCTTTTAACATCTGTCTTGAATATACTTGAATACACAATGAATATCTTGAATAGGTACAGAGCATACCTACTCGTCTTCACACAAGTTTGCAAAATCCCTTGGTGCAAGAAAAAACACATAGAATTTGCACATAGGCAAGCAAATGTACATAGAATTTGCACATAGGCAAGCAAATCCCTCAGTGCAAGGAAAAATACATAGAATTTGCACATAGGCTCACAAAGGCCATGAAAGGTTATGAAGACTCCTGCCCCACGCTGACAATTCTATTTCTGCAGGCTTCTACTTCTTGGGGGGAAAAAATCCACTTCCTTCAGAAAGCTTTGCAAAAGGCCATTCTCTAAACTCTGGCACACTCCTTTAGGCAAATTTAGGGACAGAGCAGCAGCCATACAGCACATTCATTCTGAATGTGCTTTCTGAGTGAAAGATTTAACAGGAATAAAAATCCTTCCTTCAGCAAAGGTCTTCCAGTGAAATCCTGGATCAGAAAGCAAAGGGCTGTCAGGTTTCAGGAGTCAAATAAGTAGCATCTCCAAGCAAGAGAGGCAGCTCAGACTCCTGGCAGATTAGCTCTCCACATAACTCAGACCAATAGTTTTGCTTTTCTTTCTACCCAACACCATTAAGAGTGCTAAGAAACCTTGATGAACTATCAAAGTGAATGTGATTAAGGTATGAGACAGTGCTGTCAAAAAAAAAAAAAAAACAGCTAAAGCTGGTAATGCATCAATTAAACTGTGAAAAATATCAACTTTTAGAACTCTAAAAGGTGCCAAAGGATACATTTAGTGTCCAGTGGTTCTTCCAAAGCTGAAGGCATAATATTCCTGACTGCAACTCACCAGTCACTCCTACACAAAGAAGGGAAACCTGATCATGCATCCCCCCAGCTAAGGACAGGACCATAGAGGACATGCAATTGTTCCACATTTGAAAGGGGCCACATTTCTGTTGTAGAGGTCCCACCTCTTCAATGCTTCACTGAAAGCTGTTCAAGTCATGTATTCATCAAACACAGAAGTGTTAAGGGCAGCTGCTTCTTCCTGCAATATGGGCTTCTTTTTTTTTTTTTTTTTTTTTTTTTTTTTTTTTTATAATTACCTCACAGCAAATTCTATAACCATTCCTGCCATGAATTTCTGGGGAAAATGTTGTCTGGTTACCCTTCTACACCACGTCCCAGTAAGTTCAATGGGCATTACTCTGGGTTAATATGTGGATTATCCAAGACAAAGTAATAAGAAATGTAACAGTCTGCAAATGCAGAGACAAAGCACAGCCTTGGAATATGTGTAAAAGCAACTTGGCTGAATGTTTTCACCACAGGGGTGTCAGAACACAGTTGATCCCTTATCTCTGCTCTGTAGATGGCTCTCTGGTACAATATTTACTACTGGGAGGGGGACCAGGGGAAGTGTAGACCTTAGGTACCTGGGTTAGGTGCTCAGGGTTTAGGTGCACAGCCTGGAATACAGTCCAAGTGCCTGTCCTATGTACTTCAGGCTGGAAAATTGGCTGTCTGAGAGTGAGGTGTGACAAAGCCAGTGCTCAGACCAAGGAGCTAATCTAAAAAAGAGCTTCCAGTCCCATTCCCTGGCTTTTAGACTGACACAGGAATTCTGTCCAACATAACTCTCACATTATGGAGAAACCTCTCTGGAGAATGGATCTTTGGTCTTTCATGTTCCAGGTACTCTTCATATCAGCATTGATGTCTGGTTGTGTTTTCCTTTCTGAGGAGCCCTTGTCACATTTCTCATCTACCCAGACAGTGCTGCTCTCTGCTGGGTGGCAAGGAGGTAGCAAACCCTGCCACTAACTCCACAGTGGACCACTAAATCCGCAGTTAAAATATATTGGTTTCAGGTGTCAGGGTTCTGGGAGTTTGGGACTGTGAGGTGTTCATGGTGATGAGAGGCTGGGGCTTCATCTCACAATACCTTTTGTTCTCATGTTTGTCACTCTGAAATCACTTTTGACTGAGTCTTCTGTGCTTCAAGAAAAATTTTCATGGGTGTTAGCGGACTACTGCAACAAAAACAACAGATATAATGGACTTCCTACTACATTATTACCTATTATGGGTTTAGGCTTTCTAGAGAATTTTTCCCATTGCCATCATGAAGAAGTGGGAGGCTCCTCGAAGATGGATGGTCGGTGATAAAGGAAGGTGGCTGATAGCCCTGGCATACTAAGGAAATCCTTTTGACGAGAGGAACAGGGGTTTGGCAGGGGTTTTCAGCTGGTGGGTTTTTTTCTCATCCGCTCTGAGACCGGGAGCTGTCGCGGTGTGCCGCCGGGGGCCGTGTAGTCTCACCGGCTCCTTGTCCATGCAGCAGCTCAGTTCGAGCTCCACCTGCTCCCCTGCCTGCGCTGGCTGCTGGCGAGAGCATTATTTCACCCGCGGACTCAGATTTGCAGCCACGGCCAGCACTAAGAACCCCCGCCACCAGCCCGAGTTCGCAGTACCCTTTTGAAAGACAGAGCACTCCCTGCTATCGCCCCGCGGGCAGCTCCGCGCCCCCATCCCAGCGCTCCCATCCCAGCGCTCCCATCCCAGCGCTCCCATCCCAGCACTCGCATCCCAGCGCTCGCATCCCAGCACTCCCATCCCAACGCTCCCATCCCAGAGCTCGCATCTCAGCGCTGCCGCCGGCCCGGGTCGGGCCCCAGGGCTTTGCCGCCCCCAGCGCGCCCGCGTCCCCTGCCGGCAGCAATCAGAACTACACCCAGAGAGCAAAACTGCTCAGCGCGTCGGAAACTTCTGTTATTGTGTCGTTGTTTGTCCTGTTCTGTTCTGTCTATTTTCTAATAAAGAACTGTTTTTCTTTTTTCTATATTTTTCTATATTTTGTATATTTTCTATTTCTTTATTTTTTCTTTTATCCCCATAATTTCATAGTTACAATAATTTGGAGAGAGGAGTCTTCCTTCTATTCCAGAAGGGTTTCTGCCTCCCTTGGCAGACTTTTATCTTTCAAAGATATTACCTCAATTATTAAGGTATTTCCTCAGTCCTCCTAATAAACTGAGACCCTCTGAATTCCACAGAATAAATGCTCTTGACAGCATGAACTTGCTCTATTTTAATACATTGTGGAGGGTACCTAAAATACACTGCAAGTGTGATTACAAGTTAGATGGATAGAATTCTAACTGTAGACTCCTAATTTCAGATTGAAAAAGACTTTAGCTATAGCTTATTTATCCACAGGGTAAACACTGTTTTGCATGAGAAAGTGCTGGCATATAACAATTCAGAGACAGAGGTAGTCAGGCTCTCTAAACTATAGTTAGAAGTGTTATTTACTAAAACTAACACTATAAGGAGAGTATATTATAGGCAATCTTACATTGCTTGAGATGGCAGGAACACTGGGCACTGTAGCTTTGAACAGGCCTCTGATCCATCATGCTGGACAGACCGTGTCAATAGGTGAGATTCTTCTTTTTTATTTGGTCATTTGAGTTATCTCATAATTTTTTATAGGACAATAGCTCTATTCATTAAGGATGATCACAGAAGAATTTCTTGCTGTGTTTATAGATGACACCACACCATGGAAGTGGCGTAACCACTGCTAAAAGTGGGAGCTTGCCTGCAAGCTACTAACTTAAAATGAGCTGGCTGACTTCATCTTGCAGTCATGGAACCTGTGCAGCACACAGAGCCTGAGGCCATTTTGTATCTGTAGGACAGGCCTGCATCTGCTGAGGTTAAGTGTTATATAGACCAATGTCATGGTTTTGCATGGAAGACATTTAGGGAAGTGATGCAAAGCTTCCTGTCACTGGAAAGCTGGACACGCCTCTGTGAAAAACACACATTAAAGACGAAAGAAACCTGGGAACTGCCTCTTTTCTTTCCGGCCTGGGAACGGGTAACAAGGCTGGCCTGGCCCCTGTCTCAGCTGCGTTGGGCCAGGCAGGCTTAGCCGTGGGGCCAGGTCCCTCTCTGGGGAGCCCACAGAGCCCCATCCTGGCTGGGCCAGGTCCTGGAAGCTGCCAGGTAGGGCGGGGATGGCAGGCTGCAGGGGGATGGAAGGCCGCAAGGGGATGGCAGGCCGCAGGGGGATGGCAGACTGCAGGGGGATGGAAGGCCACAGGAGAATGGCAGGCCGCAAGGGGATGGCAGGTCGCAGGAGAATGGCAGGCCGCAGGAGGATGGCAGGCCGCAGGGGGATGGCAGACTGCAGGGGGATGGATAGCAGACCGCAGGAGGATGGCAGACCGCAGGGGCTCTGGCCGAAGCAGGGCCAGCCATGGCTGTTAACATCTTGCCACCAGGTCCCCTCCCCGCAGTGCAGCTGCCACACGAGATCCTGTGGCTGAGGCCAGAGGCAACCCCACAGCCCATGCAGAGAAAACCAAAGACTCTTTGGCCGTGCAGCCAATCCTGATGCAGCCCCAGCCACAGTTCCCACCATCACAAGCAGTGAGTGACCATCTGCCCAGAGCAAGATGTTAACTCTTGCAGTGCTTCAATCCACCCTCGAGTGAGAGAAAGGAACAAGATGCAAGCATGCAAAGGAGCAACAGGAAGACATTGAGGTCAGTGAAGAAGTCAAGCGCTAGAGGGGAGGGAAGAGGGGATGTCTTAATCTTGGGGCAGAAATCCTTCTGTAATAGCTATGGAGAAAGACTCTTTTTCCCTATGATGTGTGAAGGTATGGGGAGATTAAAGTGTTCAAATTGATATCAGGCAAAGACCTCCGTGGCAAAGTAAGCAGACGATAAAGTAGTTGCAATCTATGAGAAGTTTGAACAGAGAGAGAGAAGAGTGATGAGACCCTGTGCACCCAGGGAGAGAAGAAGAGGACCTCTGTTCCCAGAGATGAAGATGATTTTAGAGATAGATAATGAGAAGTTTTGCCTTTGAGCAGCTCATCTTTAAAACAGTACCTCATAAGTTGGCATGGCCCATAAACACAGGTGTGGGAAAAGCTTGTGGAAAATGGGAGGGACTTCATAATTGCAGATTTTCACAGGCAGCTGCTATTCGTGCAAAATTGAGAGCCATGAGAGAACTTTTATTTCCTTGTGGAAAAGTCTCCATAACGTTAACAAGAGGGACTTCTCTCCCTAAGTGAACTGAAGAAAGACTATTTTAGAGGTGATAAACTGACTGAAATTTTAGGTTTTGTTTCTTTACCTTGTCAACAGGAAGAAAAGGTTGTGGGGGGAGGAGAAGTGTTCTGGAGCTTTTGTCCTGATTTTCGTTACACTTTCTTTTAGTTACTGTTAATAAATTTTTCTTTATACCCTTCTAAGGTTTTGAGCCTGCTTCGCCTTTCTCCTAATCCTATCTCACAGCAAGAAGTGAGTGCATTGGTGATTGGCCAGCACTGAACCACTACACTCATTGGTACATTGGCTGGGAAATCTCAAAATTGGTGAAATTTTGAATTGGCGAACCAAAACCACTACCACTCCACGATGCACTGGGGTCTCTGGTGAGGATCATTACATTCCACATATTGATCCACATGGAATTTACCTTTCTTTGAGACATTAGAGACTGTATGAAGAATGTTATGCGCTTCTCAGGCTTCAAGTACAAGGTGCAATAGAGCAGACACGGTCTGCTCAAGATCACTAGTTCCTCAAATAATATATCTTCTGCAAGGTTATCACCGTCCTCTCCCAAACCACCAGTGACCTCCTGCCATAAGCAAAAACCTGCAACTATATTTTTCAAATCATTATTTTATGGGTACAGTGCTCTTTGCTAGATGTATATTTTACCCACTAACTGCCCCTTTCTAACAATACACAATTAACAGAAATAACAACCACTCCATCTAGAGTTTGAATGTACCTACCATCATCTACTGATATACAAGTTATTTTTGGCACACTGGAAGGAAACCCTCTAAAGGATGCAGTAGAGCTGCATCTCCCCAGTGTTAGAGAGGCACACCAAAAATACAGAACAATGAGAATTAGTCTGGACCTGCATCACCTAAGAGCAGAGAAAGTATATGATATGAGATACTCAGCATTTGCTAGAGGTTCTACAGCAGTTTCTAGAGAGAGATCAGCCTTGCTTTCTTGACAGTCCTAGGCATACCAACACAGAAATGAGAAGCAGCACCACACTCGGGTTGAAGGGGCTTCCTATGCTTAAAGCAGGCTTCACACAAAGCTTGCTTTTTAGTTACAGGAAACAGTTACTGCAGGCTGCAGGGATATTAAAGTGACAAAAGGAGGAAAGATCTCACCCTGTTTACATCACTCTGATACTACAGACAGGTTTACACTCCCCACTGGAATTACTGATTCTCGGGGTAAGTCTGTAAGTTTTAGGTCAATAGTCCTAACATTGTATTATGGAGGAACATAAGAAAACATTCAGCAGATACTGAACTGCAGAGACTAACATGGACAAACTACGCATAAGAGTGTCTTCTGTTTACCAAGTACAGAAAGGAAGGAGTCTCATGCCTCTTCGCATGGGACAGATGAGGCTGTGAATCTTTCCTCTGCCACCATAACCCTGGGATGCACTTGTCTCTCTATATCCTCACAATGGAAGAAACCACTTGTCCTAGGGTGACGTTATGTTGCTTGTATCCCCAGTCATCATTCTGTTTATGCTGGATATTATGTTCTATACCTTCAAAACTGGCTCTGAAGAGTGAAGCTTTATTTTGTTTCGTTATCACTTATCAGTCTACTCACTCCTCCAACAGTCAGCGGGACACAAGGACAGCAGTACACAGTGCAGCTTTTGCTTTTCGCACTTGCTTTCACTTTGCTCTTGCTCCTGCTTTGCCCTTGCTTTGGCTCCTGCTTGTTAGTTAGTTTACCTAGGCAGCCCAAGTTTTCCCTGGACTATTTATCTTTCCCTTTCTTGAAACCACTCAAGCCTGCTCCCAACTGGGACCTGGGAAACACCGAGAGTTTGCACTTTGTGGCCTGCAGCAGCCATTCCCAGGGCCAGAGGGACCAATAACAGTGACCACTCCCAGGAGAGACTTTCTGAATTTGTCATCTTTTTCAGAGAGGTGTAAGAGTGCTGTCATGTGGTATTGTTCATTTTGTGTGCTGGGGGGTGCTGTGCCTTTTAAATAAACAGGTTCTTTCCACTTCTCTCCGACGAATCCTTCCCGAACTGGTTGGGGTAAGGGGCTGTGTGGGTTTGCTTCCTAGAGGGGCCCCTTTTGGAGGCTTTCTCGCAAATTTGCCCTAAACCAGGACACCACTTCAAAAAGTAGCATCAGGGGCTTTCTTTTACAACCTAAAGTTTGTCAACAAGAGTCAGGTGCTGGCAAGATGGCAGCAGGTTACACTGTGTTCCACCAGTGCAGTCCCTGCACCCTCAGGGATGCTAGGCAAGGGCAGTGTGCACCTGATGAGTTCCATCTGCACTTCACAGGAAAGCAGGCGTACAGCCCACCTGAGGGGAGGATAATCTTCCTCTGCTACCATGCTATAGTGCTGATCTGGTCCCTGGCCATTCTGCTCTATGACATGGTCTGCAGGTTCTATCCCTTAAACTGAGGTGAGGACATTATTCTGGGCCATTATCTTCTTCCTGCCATGGGTGTCTTGAGCTGGTACCTGGTTTGCCTCACAGAAGGAATAACAGTGTTAGATTACAGGTGGTATACAAGCATCCTCTTCTTGCAACTACAGAGGAGATTTCCCATGGAGGAGCTGGCACATGTCCTACTATCCTGCTCTGCAAAACAGAGATTGGAAGGTTTGGGCACAGCCTGGGCACTGCAGACTCTTGAAAAGAGGGGACCACTGTCCAGCAGCTTTTTGATTGCTCTTCCCAGAGCGCCAGCACCTTGTCAAATGGTGTTAATCCATTTGTCCCTTGGACAGGCTATCATTGGAAGACCTTTTCAACCATTCATGGCTACAGGACATTCACCTACTCCAAGAGATGGCAAAGATCCATCCCTCTGCACAGTAGGACCCAGCAAGTAACAGCTCTACACATCTCATGGCACTAAGAAGCCAAGAAAATCAGACTCTTTCTCTGCAAGCGTAGCCTGGAATAGGAATCACAGCTGATGAGATGCCTCTGCTAGTCCTGGGGGAAGTTGCAGAAGTGGCAAAGCACTCCCCATGGTATTTGAGAATGGCAATCCAGTGAAGTTTCCACAGACCAGAAAAGGGGAAACATCCCCACTGCAGATCCCCGACTTCGTGGTCTTCCTACAACCTGGAGTAAAACTGTAGCATCCTGTGGCACAACCATCCTTGGCTTGGCCACCAGCAGGGCAAAGCTGATTGACTGTGGTTGCAGCACCTTCCTTGAGAACAGTTAAAATCAAGGTTGAGTCTACACCTAGTAAGAGAGGGAATGCTCCTGGTCCCAGGCATTGCATAGTCCAGCCTGGCTGGGCAGTGGAGGTTTCCTGCTTTGCTGTGGTGCGGCAGGATTAATTTTTCAGCCAGTTGCCAGTTTTTTTTTTTTTTTTTTTTTGTAGGGGAGGGCATGAGTGCTGTGGAAGGGGAGCTAGTTCCCAGCCTTGCTGACAGCTTTCACCACCCACCCTGGCATGGGCTGGGGGAAGCCTGACAAAAACCTCTAGCC